AAGGTGTCAGATAGATGTGGTTACCAAACCCAATTTTTTAGAGGCTTCAGTGGTAACTAGGGAATGGGAGAAGGGGCAGAAAAGATTTAATGGGAATTGCATACACACAGCATCTCCTAGAATAAAGCTCAGGCTTTGTATTTTATTTCACTTAGAGATGGACTGTAGAGTTTATTTTTGCAGAATCAGTGGGGTAAAGCTGCAGTTTTAGAAAAATGAAAGCATGGATGGTTCCTATCCTCTTTTGTTTCATACAACTCTCTCAAGTCTATGTGAGGTTTCAAATACTAAGCCAGGATTCAGATGCCAAGCTCAGGTTTTAATTCATATTTCAATTAATAGCTCAAACATGTCGAGCTAGAATACTGCAAAAACCTTTTTTTGCAACAATATTCTAATACTGAGATCAGCTATAACCCTAATCTGCAACTTCAGTGGAAGGAAAACCTACACCGTGTTTTAGTCTGAAAAAGGACATGTTCTGGCTTTTTAAAAGCAAATGTATTAACATTTAGTTAGCATAATAGTAGATTTCTTCTTTCCAGGGCATGAGGCTGCCTTTTAGTTTCACCAAATCTATCTTTGAAAGGTGTGGAAAATCAAAAAGAGACGAATAAGCAGATAGTTAAGCTGGATAGATATATTGACTTCATCAGACAATGTTTGTCTGGGTAAAAAACTCTCTTTCATCATTATGAGAGTCAGTTCATATCCTCACCCTGTGGAAGTGGTTAGCTTTTAATTCATTCAAGAGATGCTATCAAAAAAGAGGGAGGTATTTTTTACAATCCCAAACCCAAAATAATTCTGCTAAACAATACATAATTCATATCTCTTCAGAATTCTGAATGTGGTCAGAAATAAATAGCAGCACAGACATTTAAGAGCTAGTCTCATTGAAAAATGTAATTAATTGGTGTTACCCACAAAATATTTCTTTGAGGGGGGGAGTAGCATTGCTTTAATTACAAGTAATTGTTCTCAAACTCACGCAGCTCATAAGTTTTGCAGGCTAGACAGTGATTATGCATCAATACCCTAATCTATCACCTTCATTATTTTAGTCATCTGGGTGTGATCATCAAACTTTGGAGTGTAACCCAGACAAGAAACCAGACATATCTCATGCTTCTATTCTTTCCAAAATGGTTTATTTTAGAAGAAAAAATTTGCACTGATGATGCAAATTTCAATGCTTTTGTTTCAAATGAAGACTGTAAATTAAATTAAATTCCCCTTTGTATGTTATTAGATGGTGACAGTGGAAAGGATGTTCTTGTGACTTCATGATGGACTGGGAAGTTCAGGACACGCCAATATTTCTGCATTCTGCCACAGACTGTCTTCGTGGACAGGAGACTTCACTTTTTGCAGTTTGTTCAGACTGCCTAGTGAGCATACTGGGAATGAGCTGCTAGAGACCAAGCAGGCTGTCCATCTCATTGCTCTCTTCATCTTAGACACCATAGTGGTGTGATGCTCACAGTGGCCATCTTCAGGTGTTCTGCCACCATAGAAGAGTGACCAAACCTCTTCCCAACTGAGGAATGCAGGGAGCCTTAAACCATTGGTGTCTGTACAGCCTAATACTTGATCTATTGAAATTAAAGTAGCTACCTAACCACAATTTATTGTCATTACTATTATTGTTATTATTATTACAAGATGAATGCAGAGCTGAGTTTGTTATTATGAGGCACTGCTCATCCCAGTCTTTAGTCATCCCTACCTGAGATACCACATAAGCACCCATGTAAATCAAAGTTAAGCAGAGGATTAAGTGCTGTCCTGCATAAAGATGGCTTAAGTACATGTTTCTCGAATCAGGGCATAAGCAGTTATTTCACTACTGTCTCTGCAGTATTGCTGTTTCTACCTCATTAGAATGAAAGGATGCTTGCATAAATTCCTCATATTGACACACAAGACTATGCCTGTCTCCCTGAGAATTTGGAGATTTTTTTTCCTTTTCCCCCAAATTAATAAGTGCTGTCACCTGCATCGCTAAACACCAATTTGCTGCTTACCGCTAACAAGACCTCCACGTAATGTAGCTAACAGTAGTATTTCAAAAATAGAGCTCTCCTGTTCCCAGCATGTCTGACAAGAATACATTAGAGGCACCTGTCCCCGGCACCAATATTTTGTTTTCTTTTCTTTTACGTGGGAAGGAAGAAATCTGAAGCACTGAAATTTTCCTTGAAAGCAAAGCAAATGCAAACACAGGAATCTTTTCCCATCCTGCATCCTCTTTTTCAATCCTCTTCAAAAATAAGTAAACATTAGAAGCATATCCATTTGGGTAAAAAAAACTAAGATTATCTTTCTTAATAATTTCCATTTAAAAACTATCAGGTAGCAGGAAATTTTTTAATTATGTTTGAGACTATGAGATTGGCTCTGTGCTCACCAAGTCAAAGACATACTGTGATATACTGCAAATATACTGAAAACACCAGCAATCCTAAACCAAGTCCATCATAACTGCTATTGTTGGGGTCAAGTCTAGTAAAAATGGTACAACAGAAACTCAGGACTGGTAAAATCTAGATGTTCCCCACCTCAAAGGATCTGAAGCACCACAATATGCTTCTGTACCCTTGGTCTGAATTGCAAGAGTAGTTCTGTAGACTGTGGGATGGGCTCCTTCAGACTTTTGTCATCAGACATTTGTTCTGTATACCTCGACACCTGAGGTAGATTCCTTGGATCCCTTCAACATCAATAGAGGGAAATAGGTGTTTTGATGACTGAACTAGTCTGGTCAGATGTAGATGTCAGCCCTAGGAGATGATGAATGGATACCTCCTAGAAATGCCTATTTCTCTGTATTGACTTCAAAAAGAGCCTTAAGTGATGTAAACATCTCGGAGGGACACATCTGTGTTTAGTTAGGTGAATCCCAGGATGCTGGGTGCTCAGATGCATCCTCAGACTTCATATGTTTGCTCAGCTTGTTCTCCTAGGTTCTACCTTCATCCATAGGCATTAGTTTTATTTGGATGTCTTTGATTAGAAAACTACTGATTCGTACTCTTATCTCTGTGACAATGATAGTGTAAGCTGACAAAGTACTTCCATGCGATGAATGTCTCTCCTGTTTAGGGAGGTTTGCAAATTCTTTTCAGTTTTCCCTAGCACTTGAACAGCAGATTTGAATAATCTTAGATGTGGATTTAGTGCTAGATCAGACTCAGTGCAGTTCCCATTAAAAATATCTAAAAAATGTCCAACGATCAACAAGGAAACTGGGTTGAGTCTCTTAAGTGTGCTATCATGAAGCCAGCCAAGGCAGCACTGTAATCCAGTAATACTAATTTCAATGAAATCCATTGACAGTAGTAGAGAATATAGATGTAAAATTGTTTCCTTTCTTATTCACCTGAGAAATTAAACATGCTATAGGAAAGAAGGGAATACCAAACAGCACATTTGTGGGGTTTTTTTCCTTGTAATTTTTTTGGTGTTGCTGTCACGTGAAGAAACAGACAATATTGCCTCATTGTCCTTATGACTGTCTTGTTCAGAATTCGATCTCAGCCCAACAATATGTTCAAATAATGATGGACCATTTATAAAAAGAACCAGCAAAATATACTGAATAATCAAATCTTCCAAAAATCTTGTTTAACACTTGCTGCAGTTGCTTACCCAGATTTCATTCTATTTCTTTACACATGTCTCTGCTCAGCTTTTTAGTAGGATTTCCATATACCTGGCTTTCAAGCACCTGGCAGTCCTAAGACACTGCACAAACCTTGCAGAAGTAGCACAGATAAATCTTTATAAGGTAAATGTGTAAGAGTGACCTCAGTCTGATGTTTCCTTCTTGCCTGTTTTCTTCAGTAAGAATCTAAATGCTGTTTGAAAAAGCTGGCCCTTTTTAATGAGGAGTTCACTTTATAAATAATGAGGTTGTATCCATTTTCTTTTACCAAGTTAGTCATATTTTAACTATTTCATCTGCTTCTAGATCATGTAGTAATAAGGAATAAAGGCACATTATGGACCTGATTTTCCAAACACTTACCTCACTGTACATGAGAAGTAACTCCCCTGTAGTCATTAGGTCTGATTTCCCTCATACTTCATTCTTGCCTGGCTTCCAAAAAACGTGGGTGTGGGGAGGGGGGGACCTGGGCTGGGCAGATCTTCTGTCCCTCCTTCTCAGGCTGCTTTAAGCTGTGTCTTACAACTGTGTTGCCATCCTCTGGGATCACACTGAGGAAAACGGCACCAAGCGTAAGGAGCCCCAGGACTTGACTTATGTACATGTTTTATGGTTACATTAAGTCTCACTGTGAAGGAAAAAACTCTGCCCATTGAAATTGACATTATTGCCCTCCATACTCTTTTGAGTTCACAGTTGTTAAAGGAAGCAGGTTGAGTCTTCACAAAAATGTCAGTTTGCTAGGAGAAAAAATAGCCGTAGTGAAGTGACACTTTGATTATAATTAAAATCTTTTCATTTAATTTAACAGTTCACTTTAGACATTTTTTGAGCTGTGGAAATCCTGCTTTTAAGATAATGAACATTGTATGATTGCTAATGAAATCCACATATGTATGCATATATATATATATATATATATATATATATATATATGTGGTGGTTATGCTATGTGTTTATCCATCTATATACATATATGCTCCTTTTAGGTTTACTTAAAAAGAAATCAAACAGGAGGAAAAGCACATTTTTCAAATGTGGCTCTAATTGTCTTTTGTGCGTGTTCTATAGATCATTACTGACTGTTTACAAACCTTGCTTGGAATGGCTTTACAGCAATAGAGAGGGTAACATATCTTCATTGTTTATAAAATGACAGCTCCTAATGGACCATATTAGCTTTAACACAAACTATTAAATCCTTTTCATTAAATTATTCTGCGCTCTATTTTGGAATCTTGTTAGCTCTGGGAAGTAGGTGCAAACTCCTAAGGAAACATGAGCACACATTGAGACTATTATAGATAATGTTTATTAAATAAGCCTCTGAGGATGTTTTTCTTGGGTTGCTCTCAAGCATTTTGAAGGAGTCATGTTCCATGTTTGAGGTCCCATGTTTCTTCCTCTTAAACTATGAGCAGCTGTAGCACATGACCTACTTCTGTAGAACCCTGTAATGATTTCCTTCCTTCAGTGGCTTCAGGAGTCCCTCTTCTGCCCTGTGAAAAAAGGGACAAATATTTTAATCCAAGCAAAATGCTAAAGCAGGTTTTGTTGGTTTCAGGGAAGAAACTCAATACAGCTACATCACTGAGCGTAGGCCTCAAATTGGAACCATCTGGCCTGCAGAAGCACCATGAGATCTTTGGGGAAGGCATGGATATTTTGCCTTGGGCTGTAACTCATACACCTGCAGAACGGGTAGACATGTTGGCAGACAAACTGGACTCATACAGCAATACAAGCCTTCTCTCACAGCGCTGTGGCAGTGCTGGAGTTTGGAAATTACCCTGACATGTTTAATAAATGCAATCACTGTACTGTATGCTCTCCAGATAGCAAATATTCAGCTGCACTCACCGTTAAGTTAATTCAGACAGGTCTGCACTCCAAGGCCCGTGTCTTTTCACCCTTTTCACACAGACAGCCCCTTTGAAGGCAAAATAAGGACAAGGAAAAGAAGATGGTAAGCACAAAAACATGCATTACATCTTCGTGCTGCCTCTTGCAGGAGGTAGCCTCATGTGATATTCATGTGAACTGGATTAGATTGAAAAGAGATTCTTGTTGGTAAATATTACAGCTCTTTGGGAACACAGAAAGGTACAAGAATGCAGGTGTCAGTGCGATCTAAAATAATCCAACCCCCTTGGTGGGAGGTTTGTAAAATCTCTAGGCTGGATGCAGAAAGAAAGAGAAGCCACATGCAAACTCTGAAGGTCATGACTTGAGAAACTGTCAGAAAGAGGCGGTGTCCAAGTCCAGCCAGAAAATGAAAAAGCACATCTCAGAAGCAGGAGGACATTTGACTGGAATGTTATTAAACAATTAGGATCACAGGTTTTCCTGGAGCTCTGTGCCGCGCCCCACTTTCTGCCTGCAGCCTGTCGAATGGCAGAGCAAAAGACCAGAATGTGACATTTGCACCTTTGTGATCTGTAGTTGCAAATGCTATTTTGCACCTGCAAATTTGTGCCCTGACCCTACAGGCGCTCTTCAGACAAAACTCCCAGCGGTCCCTTGGGGCTAAAAGGTTAAGGCCTGCATAGTTGGACATCAATACCATGTTATTCTCCTTTCAGCAATATCACGTACACAGCATCCTAGGCAGAATTTCTGATGTCGGGTTAGAAAACACTGCTGCTCACATCATGCAGCAGATACACTGGAGGGGAATAGGTTTTCCCCAGCCTTCTCACTCTGCCTAAAAATCACACTGACTGTATCAATCTTTCCATTAGGAAAGTTTACACCCTAAATCTCAATCTGTGCTTTCCCATACTCCTAAAAGAAGTCCAAAGAGAACACTTTGGACCAACTCTGCTTTCAATGTACTCTATATTGCTAGCATCTGGAGTCATGTACGTGGGCTACCCCAAGCCTGAGCCAGGGAATAAAAGAGAATGTGCTCAAGATCGCAGTCTAGTCCTGTGAGACACAGTATCCTGAGCACTGCTGGCTCCTGTTGTCTTCTCTTTAGGAGGTGCTGAAGTGTTTTCAGAGCCAGATCCTCAAGGTGACTTTCTAATTGTTTCACTGAGAGCTAGACTGGGATAAGGATAAAGGAAGACTATGCAAAATGTGTAAAAAATCAGATGCAAAGTCTCTAGCTCTCCTCTCCTGCACCCCTCTGTAAATGGGAAGCGGCTCTACAGAAGCTGACAGAAGAGTGCCAGGATAAAACAGGTGATGGAGAGAGCAAAAGCATTTTTTTTTTTTTCTGAGATCTATAGAGTCATTATAGAGATTTTGTGGACAGTCAATTAAATATAACAGGAGTAAAGGTGGAGCTGTCTCAAGGGACAGCACTCTGAAATGGCTTCCTTAGTTCTCAACTCACCCCTGTCTGATTTTGGAAAGGAAATCTGACATTAGGTACTGACACATAAAAATGATGGGATTACAGTGTGTGTTGCTGGAGACAAACTTCCTTCTGCAGTTGTATTTGATTTGCTTTTGCTTTTCACCATACCTTGGTTCACCTCTCCTTGCAGCAGCTCCTCACTGCTGTCCACACAGCCAAGGTAGCTTTGGCTAATACACAGCTCCAACAGTTTCCAGCACTGTTTCAGCAACAAGATGAGAGTTAATGAGGCTCAACACACTTCCTACCAAACTTTATGGGGAAAACCCCTTGAGTGAGAGCAGGAAATCCATCTTGTAAGAATTACAATGTGGTCTCAGTTCCTCAACTAGAAACTGAAGAGAATATTGATATTTTCCAAAATATCAAATACTAAATGTAGGGGTTCCCCAGCCAAATTTCCCTTTGGTTCAATGGGGCAATTTTTCATTTCAGTGTCATTTAGATTTCTGAAATAATTTATTATATACTTCAAGAATATTGAAAATTTCCTGAAGCCAGATTCTGCTACCTTCTATTTATGCAGGCTGTGCATCGGCAATGCCACTGCTGCTAGGATAAAAGTGCTATCTGCTATGAGGGAGGGTGGGCAGAATCAGACCCTTCCTAAAAAGTCTTCTGAAAGATGGGGAAATGCAAAAGGGCCCAGGTTTCAACAAGTGGATTTTGACAAATAACTAAACTGCCTTGTGATCCCAACCAGCAAACCAGGGAGGCTTACCCACAGCCTTGCCAAATGCTTTAACAAACAGAAATTCCTCCATTGCATTTTGGGAATAACAACACAAAAAAAAAAAAAAAAAAAAAGGAAATCTTTATGAGGGGAAAGCAAATGCAGCTGTGAACCTGGGAGGCCAGGTAAAAGGATATGCAAGCACATAAAGAGAAAAGTACTTTCCCTTTGCAAGTTTTTTCAGTCATCTGGCTCTTCTCACTCTCCCTGCCCCAGTCCCGGGGGTGATGGTCCCCGCAGCACACTTTTCCAGACACACACCAAACCTGACACGTGGGCTGCAGCCGCAAGCCAAATGTCTGCTTCCAGATGTGCCTGCCATCCCCAGCGGAGCTGCTCCCCTCTCTCACAGCCCACGACCCCAGGCTGGCAGTTAAACTTTCCTGGGGTACCCAGCAAACAAGTGACTACCCAAATCCTGATCCTTCCTTAGCTCTGCCCCAGCTCCGGTTTCTAACGGACACCAGAGAGATACTCTCTGCGTCCCTCATGTTTCACAGCATTGACTGTCTCCCTCCCTGTCCAGACACGGGCATTTTCTTCCTGTGGAAACCATGGTACAGGACAGGAGAAGTAGGATCTGTTTTAGACACAGGTCCCATCCTTGCACACGGCCAGGATGTGGCCAGAACGTGCATCCGAATCCAGAAGTTGGTGAGTACTCTGGGGCCCCATGATTTAGATGTTGTTCAAGTGCTGCTAGAGAGGAGTCATGCGTATGCAGTTTACAGAAACGGAGCTTTTTTATGCAATACTTTTCCCTTTCCATCAGTAAAGCCAATAGAGAGCTCTTTCTCCTCTGGAGCTTCAGGCCATGGAGTTCGTTTTGAAATGTGCACAGTCTTTTGAGATTGACGGAGTTCCAGCTATTGATTTTTTTGACTTGTTCATAAGTTAATATTTACCATAAACATCTTGAGAAAATTATTATTTTTTTTTTAAAAGGCATTTTCAAAATAGCAGAAGCTGGGGAGATAGTGAAACAGACACTATTTTAAACAAGGTATTTTAAAAAGCATTAAACCTTCCCTCCCTTTTTTAATTAGTGGTGAAAAGCAAATATTCAAAAACCCCACCCCAAAACCAGAAGGGTGATAAGCAGCTTTTATTGTTGAGTTCATTACTGTGATTATTTTGGGAGAGAAGACATTTTTCTCTTAATTCATGATCCAGAAACAAGATCTTTTGGAGGCTGTAGCAAAAAGATCTCCTTAAAAATGACTGCGAAAAGATGACTTTGCTAGAAAATTCCATCGGGTTCAGCCATATCCAGATGCCTGATAAGCTTGATTATGGCTTGACTAACTTTTGTCAACCCTCATCAAGGCATAGCCAAGACCAGGATCTCCCAGGAGCTAGCATCCCACCAGCAGTGGCACAGCAAGTGGAGGATGTGATGGGCTGGGGCACCGTGAGCAAAGGCAGGGGGTTCAAACGTGTTGTGGCGGCCTGACCGGTTGTTAACACAGGGGTACTGGCTTGCTCCCCTCCAGCCTGCGGAAATGGAGGCACAGCTTGCAGGCCCAATGAAGGCTTCCCTAGTCACCCAGATGGGGGTCCCATGCTCGTTTGTCACCATGCTGCCCTGGAAATGGCAACGAACATAACTCTCCCTCTTGCTCTCTCTCCAGCCCCATGCTGGAGAGAGCTGCCGACAAGCTCACCGACAGCGAGGGCAACGCATGAAAGAAAACACACAGCCGACAGAAAAACGAAACACACATGGCGGGGAATAATATTTCATTTGTGCGGTAGCAGCCCTGTGCAAGCAGTGTAAATAAAGCAGGTTACTGAGACGTGAATATACCACTGTTTATAAATACTAGCCCTTCTGCCTGGAGACGTGCGTGAGGAGAGCTGGACACTCGTGAGGTCACCCCGCCACATTTTATGATTTACATAAATCATGTCAACACCACTAGCAGGAGTGGCGGGCAAATGGGGCCGCATGAAGTGAGCCATTCAGCCTCCTGTCACAGGTCTTAAAACAGGTAGAAGCTGTTAATGGGCCCACCAAATCTCTTAAAATGCAGAGGGGATGAGGGATAATCCAGCCGGGGAAGCAAGGCATGCACCCACCCTGCATGCCTCAGCCGACAGAGGCCTTCGCGGGCTCTGAGGAGCAGAAAGACGGCCAAAAAGTGAAGCCCAGGAGCTAAACTTGTTATTAATGTTCACCTTCACAGAGGGTAGTGTGTGCCACTAAGCAACCACTCTGATGAAGAAAACGCCTGAGCCGCCTGGGAAAAGTGAAGAAAACACCACATGGTTGCTGTGTGTGGGACCCTTCCTCCCCTTATTTACCAAGCGCTTGGAAAATGTGATCTTTTTGCCAGAGGAATCAATATTCTGGGACTAAACAGAAGCCCATCGGTAGGTTTGCCTTGCATCTGAGTGCCTGTGGTTTGGGGGCCAGAGGGGAAGGCAGAGCAGGGACAAACACAGGAGAGCAGTGCACAGCTTTGCACAAATTTCCTTTTGACTCCCTGGAAGTTCCATGTCTAACCGGCATCATGCGATACAAGGACAAAGCTGCAGCTAACAATAAAAGTAGCAGAGACAAATAGTTTTCCTTTTCCTTGACACTTTGCAGTCCTATATCACTATGGGGTTTTTCTAATTTCAGAGGACAGTAGTTCCTTTTGGTCCAATTTGCCCAGCTCCGGAGACAGATGATGCCATCAGGGTGGGTGGCTGAAACATTTAGGATCTGGCTTGCAGTCTTTAATTCTGCCCAAATTTCAGCTCTAATAACATGTAATTATGTAAAATAATTGTAAAAATTACAATTACACATGAATCATGTATAATTATGCAAAAGAAATGTAAAAAA